TCGGGACAGTAGAATCCCTGAAGTTGCTATTTGCTATATCACGCTCGATATGAGAGCTCATGTCTTGAGCAACATCTGGTGAAAGGTTATGTAACTCGAACACTTCACCCAGTATATTAACACGTACCACTTCACGTACCGCATATGGACCTTGCCCTGAATGATCTGGCTGTTTGCCAACAATGTCCTTACCGACATTCAGTGAGGTGCCATCACGGCCGCTCTCACTCTGTGGAATTTCACGTGCCATTGCACTTACATCATGGGAATTACTTCCTGGATGACTCGGCCGTAGGCTAACCATGCTTGGCGCATGCAGTAACTCATTATTACAACGAGTATCACTCAATGGAGTACAGCTTCATTCACATACGGTGAATGAGCTCCGCTCAACTTTCATGTCAATGAAATTGGAGATAATTAACTCTAACATACCAATGTCCAGCACATTGACATCTTACGTCAATGGCTCGCGCCAATAGCGCTTTTGTTGCCTATCAAAGGTGGGTTCATGACTATCCAAAGCTTCACTAGGAACATTGCGCGTTGCGCCGAAGGTCTTAGACCTCCAATCAATACATGGTTCATGGCGTTCAAGCCAGTCCATGCCTAGGGTGAGATCATATCTCGAATCCAATACAAGGACGAGACAGCGTTCTGTGCTATCAAAGTCCAAAAACTTCACGCCCAAGTTCAACGAAACTTTAGTCACAGTAACGCGACTACCCGTCGATAACCGAACAGTGATCGAATCATCTTCATGCGCTTTAATCGCGTCAGCATATTGCTGACTCCCCTCAAGGGAACGACGTCTAGCATAGTTGCATGATGCTCCGGAGTCGATTAGGATCGACTAATGCTTCTCAAAGCCTTTAAATATCGCCTCGGCGACTAACAAGCCAGGCTTGTATCCACGATCTGTGCTTGCTGGCACGGAGCTCTGTGGGGCTAAGCCCTGTTTTGCTCTACCTCGTAGAGAAGTGACAGAACTCAGTTCTACCCCAGTAGGGCGCCCCGCGCCTACTGGGTGTCGACGTTTCCCCGTGCCATACCAGGTTTCTGGTTGAGGCTGGGGTTTCGACCCATAGGTGTCGGTCGTTGCTTACGCAAAGGACAAGTGGGACGCAAGTGTTAAGTGCTTCCGCACATGTAACAGCGTTTCACGTCCTGTCGTTGCTCCACGACATGAAGCTGCGCTTCGCCTATATCTTCATCATGGCTGAGATCCATCGGTTCTGGCTTACAGTAAGCCGAAGTGCCTGTAGAGGTTGCTCTCGCATAGCTTGGGCTGTACCCATTCCAACCAAGTCTTGCTGCCTTAAAGTAATGCTCAGCATTCTGAGCGATGCTCACAGCCTCTTCAAAAGTCGAGGGATGGACTCGAAAGACCTCGGTCCTGGCAACGCCATTGAGAATACCTTCCATAAAGACTGTCACGTAGACAGTCTCAGGGAGAGGGTCGGACTGCATGGCAGCCATCAGAGTTCTCAACTCCTGGACATAGTCCGTTAACTCGTTCTTACCCAAACGGGTGGACAAGAGGCGTGAGCGCACGCAATATGCCTGGTTAGGCGGCGAGAAAACTCGCAAGACGTCTACCTTGAGCGATTCCCACGTGGGAAATGCCAAGTTGACCGACGTGCCACACGTCAAAGCCCACTCTCTAGCTCTTCCATAGAGCTTAAAAAGAGCCAACGAGACCCGCTGGTTCTCAAGTGAGATGAGACCAGAGTCCATGGCCATCTCAATCTCACGGATCCAGAGATTCAAATTTTTCCCCTCCTTCCCGGAGTAATGTTTAACGTCCACTCGAAGGGGACGAGGCTTAGCCTCTTCTGGTGGCATAGCTACGTAGCGTGTCGGCATAGCCGACGCTGTTCGGTTTTGAACCTGGCCCAACAGGGCCGTTTCATACTGCATGAAGGTCTCGACTCGTGCATTTAGCACATCGGGACCTTGCGCACCTAGATACTCCACATATTCTGGGCCCACGGCCGCGGTCAGCTTATCAAGCGCGACCTTTTGGGCCTCAGTGATGGGTGTGGATTGCTCCATCTTCACAAAAAATCAGTCGTAACGACTCAGGAGTAGATTGAGTATGAGTGCTACCAAGTGTAGCGGAGCTACACAGCTCCTTAAGTCAGAGGAAGACTTACGCAAAATGAGCAACTTTGGTTCTACGAACCCGACTCAGAGAGTCAACAGCTCAGAGAGCTAAGGTTTGGTTCAGAGAACCCGACTCAGAGATTCAACAAGCTCAGAGAGCTTACGGTCCCTGTTCCTGAGGGACCAAACGATTCAAAAGAATCACAGCACAGAGTGCTCGAGGACAAGCTACCTTTACAGGCGGTGCTTTCGTCCTCCCTATCAAAGACGCCTCGTAAGGCACGTGTCTCTTATTGATCAAAAGGGGAACTGAGCTTTATTTCTTCTTTAAACCTAAAAGAACACTATAGAACAACGTACTTGACCTAGTCACTAACGTTCTAAGTAAAACCTCTCAAAAGATTTCGTATTCAACTGTTGACAGACATCAGTCTTCAACAATTGATACACTTACTGTGTTCTAATATCACTTTACAGGGTACCCCCCCCCTCTCTTGTGTGCACCACACCTATCGTCGACTACCAGTCGACGTGGTACCCTGTTACATATTGCGCACGTCTAGCGTCAATTGGGTAAATTATTCGGTTGAAATAATGGCCTATACCAATCAATTGTGAAGCAAAGCCGAATATTACCTCTTAAGGTAATATAACATCAATAATTATTCGCAAGAGTAATATCGTTAAATATTATTTAAAAGGTGTAATTTAAATTAGCACAATAAGTGCAATGACATGAAACAGGTTTAATCCATTACACTTTTGTTCAGATCGATAGGTCGGGTCCATGGCCACCCCAAAACGTCACTTGGCTTCGTCCATACGTTCAACCGTATTGTATCGGCAAGGACACACAAGATAGATAGACCGCGCTCACCGCTTTCCTTTTCCATGTTTAAGCCATTCTGACATGCTTTCTGATACCGTATGCGTCTTTTGCAAATTTCCCTAAAATCCGCAAGGAAGCATGCGGTAGTAGTAAGTATGAAACTTGAGATACTTGAACGACGTCTTGACGTCATCAAACACATGTTGCAGTGCAGCTCGCAGCTAACGGAGCATTTTACTCAGAAGCAGATCTCACATTCTTGCCATGCTAAGGGACGGGTGTAACGGGGAACGCTCTTGCTGAGATAACTGAGCAAGGCCTTGTATTTATAACAATACAAGGGTGCGCACGCCCGACGTCACGTACACGTGGCGTGAGGAAGCGCAACCAAGACAACGCAGAACCCGAAAGCTCTGTCTTGAGGGAAAAGTAGAACTGTTATTTAATATGGTTATATTTCTTACTAAATCATATTTTGTCTTAATCTAACTATATTCAACTACTATCTCCTATGTGGGTCTTCTGTCCACCACACATTGCGCGCGTCTAGCAGCGATTGGTGGTTAAATTGGTTGATGTATCGTGTACATCAACCAAGAAGTGGACCCCTCCACGGATATTACCCTTAGAGGTAATTTTGACACCTTCGCTTTTCTCGAGTGATGTTGATTGAATATTATCAAAATAGATAATATTCAAAATTGGTACTTTCGTACCAATTTTTATGTGACGGGCTCACCCCGTTACGACGGGTGGCCTTATCTGCCTGCGCAAGGGACGAAGTAGCACATCAAGCTGACGAACATCAATCTCACTTCTCATCTTACCACGTTTGTACTAAGCGGTCCATCCGCTAGCTACGGACCGATCTTCGTCAAGAGCCCTGCTGCGGGTCAAAGGCTGTCAGCCCATATCAACCGATTTTCTGTCTCCTCCTTACTGCATGAGGCAGCGATGCAATGGGAGTGCCAGGAGTACCTCGCACCGAGATCGAGCTGAATAGCCTCACCAACACGGCGCCTTACGCCGTCCCCGAGGCGCGTTATGTAGGCAGACATGTATGGAGTCTCTCTTGTGCTTGCATGGAGACAGCTTTACCACCTGCACAAAGTCGATTCGCACGTGCACGACGAGCGCTTTTATGAGAGCACCATATGGTCGACAATCAGACCAAACCGGACCTTCGGTCGTCTGGTCAGCGCTGCGGTATGGGCACTCACAACGCCATAACGTGTACAACGTAGTGGATTATCCACAGACTGTCCGATAGCGCCGGCTCTGCGGCACACGGTCCGTATGTAATGCGCCGTTTCTGACCTGCGCCGGAAAGTCGGACGAACGGCTGCCGCGCGAGTGACGACAATGTCGTGGAATCGACACGTTTTGGGCTCTGAGAGGGTAAAGGCGCTTGGGTTTGGTTTGGCTGGCACGATAAGATCTGCACATTGTCTCAATGTCTCGCCAACGGCTGTCGTTTGTACATCGAAGTTGCTTAGTTTTACACATATGGATGCGCACAGAGCAAACACTTGTGGTTCCCGTAGCAGCGGAGAAACCGCAACGCTGCGGTATAAGCTGACAGAAAGTCGACCGCGAAGAAGAGAGAGGAAACGTTTATGACACGACTGCTATCATGTTAACGACGTGGATGACAAGAAGGACTCGTGACTGACTCGCGACTGACTTGTCAGCACACATTGGGCTTCTTGGAGTCGGCTGTTCTCTGGTAAAATCCGCGTGCAAATGTCTGGTGAGGTCAGTCACTGGAAACGCATTGGCAACTACGCGAACTGATTGCGCGTAGTATGCGTGGAAGCACATGGGTTTCGCATGCCAAACTTGATCGAGTAAAGCTCTGTAGCATGTGCTTTTGTGGCTTTCGGGCTTGACGATTCATAGAGTCAGCTAAGCACCATTTCGACAGCTGTCTTTGTGCGATTTGCATCGATGGCGAGTGTTTATCCAGTTGGTAACGTGCCACAAATTGCCGCTGTTCATCGCATCGCGGCATCCTTCGCACTTTTCAATCCGCAGACCTTTCCACACGTCGTTTGGTGTTCCGCGCATGAAACCAGTCACGTTTATCACCGTTGTTGCTGCTGCTGCCTTGGGCTCCCTCGTCGCTGCCGAGAAGTGTGCGAAGACGACGCTGAGCTTCGCGTTTATTCCTCTAGAGTCGATATCGGAAGAGTGCGCGGACGAGTCGGGATATGTGCTGCTCCCGTTCGATTCGATGCCGACGCAAAACGAAACACACGCAATGTGCAAGAGCAAAGCGTGCAAAGAGATGCTGCATAGCGCCGACATGCCCGACTGTACGACGCTCGTGGACGGCGCTGCCGAAAACATTAGGGAGAAATTTCGGCTCATGCGAGCTTCTTGTCTGGTAGCCGAAGTGAACACGCTCTCTACTTAGCCAACAACACCTCTTCTACTGCAGCCTCACTCAATCCAATCAATGCACCTTTTACGCGTACCGTTGCTATGTCTTTTGTCTTGTGTGCGGCAGGCGCGAGTTGCTGACGTGGAGCGGTACAGGGAAAGTAAAAGTACGGGTCGAAGAGCTGTGAATTGTCAGTTGCGGTCGTTTAGTGCTCTGTTGGTTTACACGCACCGGCCAAACGTGCAGTGCGTCGAAGATGCAGATGTGGTGATCTGACCTGTAAGACTTCCTTCGTAGCATGCGAGTAACACTTATATGACCGCCTCTGCCCTCTCGCAGACATTCCTCGATACAAAACACAACGTCCATACGAATGTACAGGATATCACGTAAAACAAACTTAAGCTGTCGCTATTGACAGGAACATTGTAACTCGTGCTTGGGATGTCGTCGCTTTGGCCGATTACAACAACAACAACAACTGCCATTACGAGGGAGAGCTTTGCTGCAGCCGCTTGAAGTACTCGGCAAAAGCAGCGACGAACGAAATCCATTGATGGCGATGTTGCGGTCTTCCTGCAATACCTGTGATCCGTTGTCGGATATCCACGGACGATCGCCCGAGTTGTTCTGGACAGGTGTCTGATCCGGTCAACCACTGCCAAGAGGTGATGGATCGTAATGACCCGTGCCAAGCTATACTGGTCATGTTAGTGCCGGCAAGTGCACGATTCTTGAAACCCTCGAATCGACGCGCTGGTTCACGGGACCGATAACAGACTCGGATTGGTGATCGACGGAGACTGCATACGCTCGCGCGTGGTAGAGAGAGAGGCATAGCTGCCAAAATAGCACATTCGTAGCTGCCAAAGCAGCGATCGTTCACCGCCAATGTCTTGATATTCACGCCCTCCTCCCGTTCATGTGCCCTCAATACGTTATAGCGCCTGAAATGACTACTGCAGTCGGCAGCTTCGGCAGCACCTCAGTCTGTAACCCCTGAACGTGGTCTTGCGACTACATGACTGCATATGGAGCCAACGTATCGATTGGACCCGTTGACGTAACGTTGCCAGCTCGCCGACTTGGATGGCCTTGTTGTGGCAGCGGTTCTTCGTCATTGTGGCGCTTGAGCTCGAGATGCAGTTGCGAAATGACACAAAAGCAGCAGCAGAAACTCGCCACGCAATCGAAGACGTGCGAGCCTCGAAGGCCAAGGGTCAGTCGGGTCTGTGTGCGGAGTCGCCACACGCCGAAGAGAAGGATCATCAGGAGCGTAGCTGAGACGGCCTCCCATCTCTCGGAGCTGCTCAGGTTTGCATGACTCGAAACAAGTGGGAGAAGTGCCGTCTCGTTCTCGTGAGGAGGTTCATTCGAGTGCATGGACACCGCCAGTCCGAGAGACACGAGGGATCCGATGAACAATGCACCAAAGTAGACCAACGTCCGTTCGTAGCCTCCTCCTAAGGTTTCTCTCACCGACGCAGCAGTCATACATGGACAGCAAGCGACGCTGCAGCAGTACGTTGGGGCGACTGAACACCAGCAATCGCACAAGTTGGTGTCCCATGTCGACGATGTTGACGTTGTCGTTGCCTTCAGAGCATGTCGTTGAGGAGCGGCAGCGATGCAAATGTCATACTTTGCTCCCGGACGATTGTACTTTACCTGTAAGACTGTCGACTGCACGGGACGTGTTGGGAACTCGACGGCTCGCATGGGTTCCATCGTAAGGGCGAAACGATGGGTCTGCGCAGACGCATCGACACCGTCGGGAAGACGCATTATCTCTATGTGCAATCAATCGTACCGAGCGTCGAGTTGAGACAATGGAACTGCCTATTCGAGACGCATCGGCGCATGTCTTTCGCGGATGGTGGGGCGGGATACCGCGAGGGATATTCTCGACAGTTCGCAGCCAGTCAGCTCTCCGCTCCCCGCGGAGTTTGGCCAGGATCGACAGGCAGAGGGCGTAGCCGCTACGCCGGGTGTGACCGAGCGGGACCTCCCTTGTCCGATTGGTTCCTCGCCTTCTCCTCGGGCGACTATAGCAGATCCGGCTCGTGGCTCAACGTCAGCAGCTGCCCCGCCCCAACCTCCCTCTCAAGAACTCTTTGCGGTGCTTGTCGAGGAAATGAAGGCATACCAGGGGCCGGGCTACGTAGATGTGTGGAAGACAACCATTCAAGACCTTTTTGCGGACGAGTTTCGCCGGTTACCTGTGCGCTCATCGCTGCTGCCGGTAGGGCGCGCGCGTTATCCTCAGTTGCGGGGCAAAGAGATTGATTGCTTGCTTGATCTCTTCAAGCAAGTGTTTGTAGAGACCAAGGGGTCGTATTCGGAGTGGAGAAGATTATCACGCACGATTGGTTTGGAGCTACTGGGCTCGAAATGGGCTTTCACGCAGATAATTCGTAAGTTGGCTAGCCAACACAAATGGGCTGCGGCACCGGTTCTTAATCAGTGGGCACGCGTCGTCCGTCACGGGGCCGGGGACGGTCAAGCAGCGGACACTGGTGTGCGGCGAGCTGTGTACGAAGATTTTATGTTCAACCCCGCCAAGTATTCTTCTGAGGAAGTCAATACATTGAGAAAGCTGTGTACAGCCAGGGAGCGCCATGCGAGTGCTCGCCGGTTGCGGGAAGGTACAGAGGACGAGTGGAAGGCGGTTATTGGGATTGCGGAAGGGCACATTGCCTGCAGACGTATGCCTGATTTCTTACGGTCGATCATGGATAGTAAAGAACGCCTTCGTTTATACAGTACTATTCAGGCTCAAGTGGAAGGGCAACTGGTCCTTCACATCGGGCGTGGAAGAGACGTTCCTGTGAGCCGCCGTACAACCAGGGCGCTCACGGACATGATTTTGGAGTCCGCAGAGTTGGCGCGCGTCAACGTTCATGCCATCCACACACTGTTGGGGTTTACCAAGACCATTAGTTACAATCTTACGAGCCGGAGTATTCATTTCTATTTCTTTTCTCGGACTGTGGCGGCTCAGCAGCAAACCACCCAAATTCCTTTCCAGGGACGTATTTACACGCTGGAAAACGTTCACCGAGCGGTTCCTGGAACGATTTGGCAGGACCAGCGTGGGCCTGATGGTCGAGTGGGCCGTGCGCGAACGGAGTACACGGTTGTACTGTCCAACTTAACACGTTTCCACGAAATTGGTCGCATCGCCGCGTTCTTAAAATCCAAAATTGCGGCAGAATTCGACCTTGAGGATTTGGATTCCTACACCCCTAACTCTCGTACGTCTACTGCGTGGAGATTGACTTTTCAGCTCGCTGGTTGTCCCGCTTTTCTTCGGGGTATCGTGCGACTATTGTGGTTTGGGTCTACGATCATCATTCGGCACCCGGGCGTCGGGCGACAACTTCAATGTCTCCGCTGTGGTCATTTGGGTCATCCCGCGGCGCGCTGCCAGCTCTCCGATGCCCTGTTGTCGGATCAAGGAGCAGTCGTGGCCACAGAAGCCGAGCTGCAAGCGGTTGAAGACCTCGCCAAACCCTTCAGCAGCCCCGAGGAAATGCGCCAGATGGCTAGTCAGCGCCTTCTGGTGCAGCGGTCGGCAGATGCAGCCGCTCAAGCAGCTGTCACCCCTGAGGTAGTGGCATGCACCTCCCCGCCGTCAGCAGCGAATAATCAGCCGGACACACCGATTTCAGCCGGCCAGCCGGCTGGCGCTGTGACTCCAGACCAGCCGGTCGTTTCCCGTGCACCATTAGCGTCCTCGAGACCTGAGCGACCCTGGCTTTCCCGCCCCATTCGTGGACGCGGGCGACTGTATGCGCATGCTGCGCCTTCGTCTACCCCTCCAGTGCGTCTCCATTCTGGGGCCTTTGATGTCCTTCGGGACGAGGATGATGTCCAAGACGACCGGGGTACACCAGCTGCAGCTGTACGGGTTGCGGCGGCCTCTCCTGCGACTGAAGGTTCGGGAGCGGCTATTGCAAATCAAGTTCGATTACCAGAGGCTCGGCTCACCCCGGAGGAGATAGCCCGTAAAAGTGGGGCTCGGAGGCGCGGCTCGGCTCCCGTAAGGACAGGGCCTTCCCTACTGGCTGCCCAGCGCGCTGAGCGTGAGCAGCTCAATCGACTGGTCAGACAAACAACTGGCAGAGGTGCTCATGCGATTCCTATGGAACCACGTTCCGAGGCCGTGCCTCATCAGCTGCTGGAATTGGAGCGGCTGCTAGGTGTGCGAGCCGTTTCAACACCTACGACGGGCAATTGTCTCGCAATGGCCTTGGCCCAAGCGGTTAGTGATGCTTCATTAGTTTCTTCGGATACACACTTCGAGCAGCTGACGTCTTGCGTCAAACGGGGAACCCAGACTGCGGGTCTCCTAAACTTGGACGACCAGTTTGGGCATGCCCAGCGAGTCACGGCGTTGCGAACAGTGGGGCGAGCGTGGGCTACCATGTCACGACAGGAGTCTGAGAACGCACTGCGGTGGTATCTCTCCGACTACGCGTCCACTCCGTCGGATCGGGACACGTTGGTGCCAGAGACCTGTTGGGGTGGCGGCGCCACGCTTCAAATGACCGCCACCTTTGTACGGCGGGATGTATATGTCATTCAATATAATGACGGAGGGGGGAGCACGTGGACCTGTCTAAAATATCACCCAACGCAGGTGACACGGCATGGCCGAGTGGTTGAAACGGCGACAATTTCATCTCTCGACGTCATGGCTTGCGTCGATGACATTCAAGCTGCTAAGATTGAACACCCGGGGCTTCCCCCTTTGGTTCTGCGATTATGGGGGAATAAGTATCATGCCTACGTGCACACAGAACTCGAGTTTTCGTCTCTCAACGGTACCGACCGTTCAGCCACGTCTATTCAGAGGGGTCGTACGGGTGGTGGGCCGCCCAGCCTAACTCGTATGCAGACCGAGTCTACGAGCCCCGCTGTCCCGCTGCAGCTGACTGCCGGAATGGGCGGGGAATCACTTTCCACAACAGCTTCCGTCAACACTCTCGTCGTGCGCTCGCAGCCGTCGAGAGAAATTGCTTCTTCTGGCG